TTCGGGTTCGGTTATAACCAACGATGAAAAAGAGAATTTTTATCCTTAACAGGTTCCCCAACGGGGATCGGGGAAACCACGGGGACCCGATGGGGATCCCCGATAAGATCCCCGACGGGGATCGGGACGGTTACGGGGACGGTTTTAACTATCGGTTTCGGGGACGGGATACCAATACCCGGCCCGTTGCCATTCCTATACAAGGACCAGTTTTTCCAATTTTCAAATCTTGAGCTTTTTTTTCATTTTCTTGGTATATATTGAATTTGAAGTTGCCGTCCGAGGGGATAAAAGACCTAGGGACGATTTCTAGAGCAAAGGAGATGAAGTCATTATAAACCTTAAAATCCGTAATTATTTAGGGATTTTGATAAAGTGACAAACGGTAAGTTTAATTTCAATAAGATTTTCAAACCTATGCCTTGAATTCTTGCAATCAGACTTTAGTAAGCCAAGCTTATTGTTTTGAATAGGTGGATTTTCTAATTCGTTAATGCTAATCACACATGAGGATTTAAGAGTTTGTTTAAAATCTTATTTGTTGTTTAGATTCAGCCAAAAAGATTATTTTGGTTAATGTCTATCTAAGGGAAAATCGAGGTTGTCAGAGCTTGTTGACAACCATAGCTGCTTTAGACTTGTCATGTATTCTTTTGCACCACAGGAATCGATGATAAACATTTTGCATCATATCGAAGGTGAAACTATTGTTGGACTTTTTAGTTTTATTCCTCTTAATTGTGTGTTTAGTTTATTTAATCAAATCCAACCTCTTCCCCCTAAGTTGAATAACAGTACGATCAATCCCTATGGATTTGACCTGACTTGTCATTGTTGCAATTTTAACTGTGAACAGATGACTAGTTAGTTAATTATTATATTAGTGGACTAAGCATCTGTCACAAAACGAAACAAAGAGTTAGGTATATACGGACATGTGACTGGACAAGTACTTGTGGCCACAGTAAAGATTCTTATAAGAAGCTCATGAGAAAATATATCAACAACCTCTACCGAAATACTCTAATTAATATAGAATTATAATAAAAAAACTACTATTTAAACATAAATTCGAATCTTTTTCCTAAAACACCCTCATGATAATGGCATGGTAATGCAGCCATCAAGAGTCTTTCCAACCCATGATCCCATATCTAGAATCACTCTCACTGGGATCTCCTTGTGCTTCTGAATAAATCTGAAAGCAAAGCAACATCAACATTAAAAACAAAGGGTCTGGTCTCTTCCTGCTAGTCTGCTACTGATCTCCATTAGTGAATAGTAAAAAGCTCCTACTGCTCCGAGAACAAAGACATGCTATGCTCTTTTTTCAATATTCCTTTCTTCTTATATGATCTTTTCTTTTTGTGCTAACCATTGAAAAGGCTTCAGCCAATCAGTTATGACCAAATATACCCCCACATACATCCTTCAAGTGTAGAACCAAAAAAAATTCACTGTTTAGATATTGTATCATCAAATTTATAAGCACAGTTGTAAAAGCTGTGCAATATTTTAGCGAATGAAGAAGGTTAAAATGATGCTAATCAACATCTATGTGGAAATGGTCAAAAGTCAAAACAAAGAGGTCATCAAGAATGTGATCAAAATATATATCGATCATTTAGATTTACGGGTTGCCATTTAGCTCACATCAAATTATGATTTGCAAATTTACTCCTTCAAGAAGAATTTCTAGTAATCATCTTTTGACCGGCTGAGAAGCAATCTTTTGACTCACCCAACTAGAAACCATGAGAACATCTCTGGTCTATCCTTTACATGTTCAAATAAGCAACTTCTCTTACAGTATCTGGTTTCTGCTATGACAACCTCCGATGACCACGTTTCCATATTTTGTGAATTATGAAAGGTAAAAATTGATAACAATGAACACTTCCCGACAAAAAAAAAAGGGGGAAGGAAAAAGTTGAGATGGATGTGGTAATGTAAAGGATTGTAAGATTGCAACCTCCAATGATACGAAAATTATACTTTTCATTCAGTCATCAGCTTATGTCCAGAAAAATGGCTCTCTAAGTTTCTCGAACCTGCAACTGCTAAGGTTACTACATTATTGGGAGGTCATAGGGTTAAGTAATGAACCTTTTTGCAGACCCTTTGTTTCGTCCCAAACAATTCCTACTCCCCAAGAATTTTCCCATTCTTGAGAATCCATCAATCATAGGAGTCCAACATACYCTATCCTTTGTACAAACAGGTTAAAAAACATCACCTTTTTAGCTTCCACAATGAGCCCATGATCAAAGTAAGATGAATGATAAAAGAAACAAAATCTCCTTCAGGCATTTCATCGAACATCTCCTCTGCATCTCTAAGTTGGCCTACTTATCCATATAACTCCGGAAGCTTCATATACCTAAGAACGAACTATCCAGAGTCCAGAGAGAATGTAACCAAAGATGGCACTTCTACGACGATCCTTAAAACCCATCACCCATAAAAACCAATATATAATGCAATAAGAAAACATAAACAAAGAAAGATTCATACCCTATGCGAATCTGAAGTTCTTCGTAAATCTGAAGTTCCTCTACGAAACAAAAAGATGGGAATTGTCTGTCAGACAACCATGTAACCATGCCAAGACCCATCAGATGGGATGGCAACGATCATCTACTGAGCCGTGGCTTGCTAAGACCATGGGTTTCTGTTAATCACGCTCTGGTTACATGGTCGTGRTTCATCAACCAGACATGGGTTTCTGTCTTCTTAGGAATCAAGAATACAGAGGTACGAGCCTATAGAACAGATCCTGTTCAAGTAAGGTCGTGTCTTCCCTTCCATCCGTTGTGTATATATACACCTAAACTTTTGTAGTCAGCTTCCATGTGGGACGAGATATACCGGACATATAGCGGCCTTCTGTTTTGATGAAAGGAATTTGGATTCCTCCCAAAATTAATGTGAAAATAAAATCATTTCATATTTCRTCATTCTACATTTTTTTTTCTTTAATGATATGTCAATAAATAAAATATGTTTTTAGCTTTTAATGATTTTATAATATTTAAAAAAGATTAAATCTATTGAATATAGATTAAAAATTATATAAATTTATTTATTTATTAAACACCATAACT